GCGCGAGATCCGCTCCTCCACATCCGTCCTGCTCCCTCCTCCCTCCTCCTTCCCTCCTCCCTCCTCCCTCCTCCCCTCTCTCGGGAGCGTCACAAAGAGGCCCGTCGAGGATAATTTCACGACAACAAGGCCGACACGATGAACAGACACCGCGTCGGGGCTCTGGGAACGGAGTCGAAGACGAAACCTCGAATAACTTAGTCTTCGATGTTCAGGGCATTGTTCTGACCACCTGCGAGCCTTGTGGAAACTATCGAGAGCCTCAGGGGTGGACGTCTGGCGCAAGAACACGAGTGGAGGAGGAGACAACACGACGCTCCACGGAGAAAACTGCACCCAATTGGTTTCTACCCCCGTGAGGGGCGTCACAAGGTAGTATTCGTATCATTCGTACTGTAGTACCATGATCTTTGTTCGTCTGATTAGTACCAGTACTAGTCTTCTGGATAATAGAACTCAGCTATTATTTTCCTCTTACTATTACTGATATTCGTATTCGTCTTCGCCCTCTCCTTCGTCTTCTTGTTATTCGTTTGCTGACTCTTCTGTTTATTATTATTATTCCTCCTCCTCCTCCTCTTCCTCCTCCTACTCCTCCTCCTCCTCCTGATGATGATGATGATGCTGATGCTGATGCTTGTGATGATGACGCTGATGATGGTGATGATGATGCTGATGCTGATGATTATGCTGATCATACTGATGCTGGTGATGATGCTGCTGGTGATGATAAAATGATGATGCTGGTGACAACGATGATGCTGCTGATGATGATACCGATGATGATACTGATAACGATACAGGTGGAGATGCGGATTATCATGATGATGATGGTGCAGATGCTGATGCTGATGCTGATACTGATTATGATGATGATGATGATGATGATGATGATGATGATGATGATGACCATGATGATGCTGCTGCTGATGATGATAATGGTGGTGAAGATGATGATGGTGATGATGGTCATGATGGTGCTCATGCTGATGCTGATGCCGGTGTTGATGCTGATGCAGCTGGTGATGATGATGCTGATGGCCATGATGATGATGGTGGTGATGATGGTGATGGTGACGATGATGATGATGATGAGGACATGTGGGGGGCAGAGACACGGGTGGGAGGAGGCAGGAGGGGGGAGGGGAACGAGAGGAAAAGGGGGGGAGAGGGACGCGGGGCGCCGCCCCCTCGAGACGAGGGCCCGGCTCCGCACAGGAGGGCCGGGAGCGAAAGCCACGCACGCCGTCGTCGGAGCCCATGGCTCCTGGCGCGACCGCATCTGGAGCCGCTGCGGGCGCCCCGCGCGCGGCGAGCCCTGCGGGCTGCAGGCGGACACCGAGGAGCAGGACCCGGGCGAGCAGCCCTCGGAGCCGCCGCGCGGGCCGCGCGCGCGGCGCCCCGGGCCGCGCGCGCCCGCGCCCCAGGTGCAGAGCTCCAGGGGGGGGTCCTGGAGGCGAGGCCAGGACTACGTCGGGCCTGTGCCCCTCCCGGGGGATTTGGGAGGGAAGATCTTTGCAATGCCCCCCCCTAAAAAATGCACCCAAAGGGTGGTCGAGAAATGCTGCAACCATCCTCCCCAGGCTATTTGTTTGGACTGTTTTGGAGTATTCCCCCTGTAGAGGGACAGGCCCGCCTTCAAGCCAGGACGGGGAAGACATCGGGTGCAGAGAGAACCCCGACTCCGGATCCGCTCTACTTTGGCTGTTTTTCCAAGTTAAAATTGCGTCGGATATCCACCTATAAGAGGCCGAAAAAGTAGGGCGGTAATTTCTGCACCCAACATGAAGTGAGGCGGAAATCCACAGAAGCAGGGCGGAAACAGCAACAGAAAAGTAGGGCGGAAATTGGCATCAGCGGGGCTTGAAAAGTAGGGCGGGAATTCCAAGCCCTACTTACGAATTTCCCCAAAGTAGGGCGGATCCGGAGTCAGGGTTCTCCTCGTCCTGGCCCCGTCCGAGTCCTTGAGCGAAGTCGGGCCTGTCCCCCTACAGGAGGAATTTCCAAATTCAAAAAAAAAGTCAAATATAGTCTGGGGACTATGTTTGGGGCATGTTGGAGCATGTCTCGGGCATTTTTTTTATTTTTTTCGCGTTTCGTCCAAAATCCGCCTGTAGGTCGTCCAAAATCCGCCTGTATGGGGGACAGGCCCGACTTAGTCCTTGAGACCCGGGCGTTGCCATGCCTGGACCCCCTGGGGCCATGGCGAAACCCACGACGGGCGGCTCTTGCCAGTGTCCGGCCCCCATGGCGGCCCTCACCGGGCACCGGGGCCGCCAACAAAATGCCGTGGAATGAAGAACCAGTCTTAGGTCGGGCCTGTTCCCCTACAGGGGGATTTTGGGCGAAAAATGAAAATCCCCCCCCACTAGAAATACCCCCAAAATGCAAAAAAACAATAAAAATCGTCCCCTGACTATTTTTTGGCTATTTTTGAGCATCCCCCCTGTAGAGGGACAGGCCCGGCTGAAAACCAGTCCCGGGAGAGGGGCCGAGATCTCTGGGGGTCGACGTCGGGGGTGTGGGGGCAAAGAGTCGTTGGACAAGGAATCCAGGGTCTGGGAGCTGGTGGGCTCCCATCGCGGGTGGACAGAAGCCCCTCCTCGAGGAGGAGGAGGAGGAGGAGGAGGAGGAGGAGGAGGAAAAAGAGAAGGAGGAGGAGGAGGAGGAGGAGGAGGAGGAGGAGGAGGAGGAGGAGGAGGAGGAGGAGGAGGAGGAGGAGGATGGGGCGGACAGAAGCCCCTTTCCAAGCACCCTTCGGTGAACGTTGCCAGGGGCACTCCGCGTGCCCCCCGCACCGCACTCCGAGTGCACCCCTGCGGGGTAGCCAGGCGACGCCCAAAAAAGACCCGAGGGTGTGCGGCGAAACGCACGTCGCTTAGCGAAATCAGCCGGGGACTCCACTGATGCACTCGAGTGCCAATGGCGAGCGAGCCATGCGAGTTTCCTCGGCAGACTTCTCTGGAGTGGGTCTTCTCTCAACTTCTCTCAATGTCCGAGGCTGGCCATGTATGATCGCGGGCTCCGGGCCCACCCACGGCCCCCCCCCCCAGATAGGATGGGTCCCAGGGTCCTCGGGCTCCCCCCCCAATATGGGATGGGGGGGGGAGGAGGAGGAGGAGGAGGGGAGGAGGAGGAGGAGGAGGAGGAGGAGGAAGGAGGAGGAGGGGAGGAGGAGTAGGAGGAGAGGGGAGGAGGAGGATGAGGAGGGGGAGGAGGAGGAGGAGGAGGAGGAGGCGGAGGAGGAGGAGGAGGAGGAGGAGGAGGAGGAGACGACGACGACGGCGACGACGACGAAGACGACGACGGCGACGACGACGACGACGATGACGACGAACGACGGACGACGGTCGACGGCGGACGACGACGACGACGGACGACGACGACGACGACGACAACGACGACGACGACGACAACGCCGACGACGACGACGACGACGACGACGACAACGACGACGTCGACGGCACCGGCGGCGGCGGCGACGACGTCGAGCACTGGAGCTTTCCGAAAGCACGTCAGCATGACGCCACAATCACAGCCACACGCACACCCACACCACACCCACAGGGGGGGAGGGGGGGAGGACATTGGGTCACCCCACACACATCCACAGCAGCACACCACACCCACACCACATCCACAGGGGGAGGGGGGGGGACCATCGCGCGGGGGGGGGGCCCGATGGCATTAGCATTGGGCGGGGGGCCCAAACCCTCGACCGTGTATATCACCACCGCCCTCATCAGATAAGAAATCCTCCAGGGTCTGAAGCCTCCTGGGCACATTCCTTAACCAGCACGGCCCACCGTACGAGAAGGGTGTGAAAGAGGGGAGGATGGCCAGAGCCCACATCCCCGACGTCATGAAATTTTCACGACGTCGACCCCCAAAGGTCTCGACCCATTCCCGCGGACCGGCTTTTCGTCCTAGTCGTTTTTGTTGACGGTCCTGCGGCCCGGTAAGTGCCCCCTGAGGCCGAGACTAGCGAGAACCTCCCGTCGTGCTTTTTCTCATGACTCGAGGTGGTCTGGGAAGGAGAGCGTGTAGCTCTGAGGCCCTCGGCCCTGGAGGCGCGGGATGCACCGTGTGACCTCCACCTCCAGCGGGCACAAACAAGAGGGCGTTACTACAGGTACCCCCGGACTACAGGTACCCCCCGGACCACAGGTACCCCCCCCCGGACTACAGGTACCCCCCCCCCCCCCCCCCCCCCGGACTATACAAGTACCCCCCCCCCGGACTATAGGTACCCCCCCCGGACTACAGGTACCCCCAAAACTATTGAGGGACACAGAGTACGGGGGCTCCAGGAAACGGCTCAGAGATCATCAGCTTCGCGCTGACCAGAAGGGGGGGGGGGTCCTTGAGATCTCGGCGATGCAACGTTTTCGCGCCAGGCACATTGGGAAAAAACAAGACGGACATGTTTCGCCATTGTCGGCTTCTTGGAGCCCTCGGCGGGTCCAAGGACCGTCAGAAAACGACTCGAGACGAAAATCTGCTCCCAGGGAATGGGTCGAGACCTCAAGGGGTCGACGTTATGAAAAAACATGACGTCTGGAGTTGCATTTTTTTTCACCCCGGGTGTTTACACCCAGTTTCGGGTCCGAGGACGATCACAGGTCGACCAGGCTCGAAAAGTGTAGCAGAAAGATCGGGTCCAGGGCTGCGGGCGTGAATTTTCGCGACTTTGCAATTTTGTTCGCAATGTCGGATCTCAGGGGTCCTTCTCGCCGAGGCTGTTGATGTTCGGAGAAGAGAAGATGGCATAAGCGTAAACTTTCGGAGGTCCGCGCTGATTTCTTGGATCGGCGCTGAGCCCTACAGGGGTCCAGCACCGATCCGAGAGCCCCACGCGGATCCCCCCGAGCGAGAGGGCTCTCGGTTCGGTGCTGGGTCCCTCTGGCGGCGCCTCCGGCGCCGCCTGGGGGTCCCAGCACCGCTCCAGGAGATCAGCGCGGCCCTCCGAGAGTTTCTGTTTATGCAGTTCTGCTCATCTCCGAGATGTACTTGTTGCAGAGCGCCTTGAAGAGGTTCGCCTCGGACCCCTCGTACTTCTTCAGCACCTGCCTCAGGAACGCCGGGTCGCCCGTCAGCTTGTCCGGGTTGAAGCGGCGGTACATCCCCTCGATGAGGGGGAGCCACACCTCCCTCGCCTGCGGGAAGACGTACATGCGCACCGCCTTGTCGTACACCTCGTCCTCCTGGCCCGCATATTTCTCCAGAAGGTCGGGCACCTTTTGGAAGCTTGGAAATTGGCACCAACACCAACATCATGGGTTGCCTCCACGGGAGGAAGATGATCCTGGACTTTGGTGTTGGTGGTAATCTGTCGGCCACCTAGACAG